ATGGTTAGGAGAATTCTGATTTCTTATGATCTTAGTGGACTTAGACAAATATTCTTCCATAGAAAGCTGGTACTCATCTCTGATAAATTCCTTAGGATCAATTCTGCAAAAGAACATCTGGGTCAAAGGGCACGGATGACCTCATAGTTTTGACAGATGCCACCAAATCAGGGTATACGCCTCTGAATGACTATTACATGCAAATAATTACTAACGCTTATTTTTGCCTTATCCTCACCAATAATAAATGTTGTCATTAAAAAAAATACTACTGATCTGGTTGGAAATGTTTTTTTTTTTTCTATTTTAATATGCACCGTGTTTGGGACATAATGGAGTCTTGTCAGGATTCAGTTGTGTCTGCAAGGGTTCCACAGAGGTGGGCTGAGAGGTGGTGGAAAGCTTCATGCCTCAAAATAAACACTCTGTTTACAGTTAGGCACGAGGGTGCCGGATTTCTGGGGCCCCCACTCCCCTTACTGGTGCTGTCATCTCGGTGATTTACTTCTCGGAGGCCAGTGGCCTTCTTATCTGTGTGTGTGAGATGACCTGTGTCTGTGCCTGGAGAGCATGCCCCCAGGACCGTGAACAAGCTCTTCAAATGCTGCCTCGTGAATCTGCGCCAGAGGGTCCGTTATTGGGATCCAGGGGGCCAGAAAGTCTTCATGGATGGAGTGAATGATGTGCAGGAGACGAGGCTGCCACGGGGCACTGTACAGGCGTCTCTGCCTTGTTTGATCAAAAGAAGGAGTCAGTAGCAGAAAACACATCACGTCCAGTGTAGCTCCTAGAACTCCAGTTCTGGAATCTTCCAGTCAAGGATTTAATTGCTTGATCTGGCCTAACGGAAATACCACTGTGAAGCGAATTCCAAGTTTAGCAAGAGGAATTAATGAAAGACATTATTTCAGACCAAACTGAGGCCCTTACAGAGGGGCCAAGGTCCAATTTCTCTGAGTGAAGACCCCCCGGGGGAGGCTCAGCTTCTATCAGTAAGTAACATGCACAGAAAGAATACACAACTGTTCTGTAACAGAGAAGAGCATCGTGTGAACGTCTCATATTTTCAAGAATTAGTTGTTCGAGGAGAATCACTGTTGATGACTTCAGACTCACTGATCTTGGGGTCCTGTGGCCAGAGCCTCTTGTGTTTGGGGGGACAGAAGGGCCAAAGGTGATGTGAGCTCTCGTCCTAAGAGTACTTACTCCACGTTCCTCCTTCCTGC